AGAAACAGAATTTCTGGAGGATGAGGCCCAGAAATCAGGATTTTAAAAAGATTCCCAGGTGATTCTAATGTGCAGCCAAGGTTGAGAACCACTGGTTTATGGTATAAAGGTCCAATTTTATTTTTCTGGATGTGGAGATCCACTTTTTCCAACACTATTTTTTGAAGAGACTATCTTTTCTCCATTGTATATTCTTGGCACCATTTTTAGTTGGCTTGGCATTGTGTATTCTTGGCGCAAAGATTAGTTGACTATGTGTGGGTTTATTTTTGGGTTCTTTATTCTGTTCCACTGTTGTATGTTTGTTTTAATACCATAATGTTTTGATTAATGTAGCTTTGTAATATAATTTGAAATGTGATGCCTCTAGTTTTGTTCTTTTCTTTTACAGAGAGGAAGGGAAAGAGAAGAGATAGAAACATCCATGAGAGAGAAATATTGATCAGCTGCCTCCAGCATGCCCCTTACTTGGGATCCAGCTCAAAACCTGGGCATGTGCCCTGACCAGGAATAAAATATTGACCTCCTGGTTCATGAGCTGATGTTCAACCACTGAGTCACGCCGGCCAGTGCTTATTGTTTTAAAGTACCTCCATATTGTTTTCCATAGCAGCTAAACCAACTTACATCCCCACCAACAGTTACAAGCGTTTCCTTTTCTCACTAACACTTTTTTCTTGATGATGTAGAGTTTCTGCTGAGAAATATTATAATCTAATAAAGCTTCTTCATAGGTTACTGTCTTTTCTCCCTAGACGCCTTGAAATTTTTTTGCTTACCATTAATTTTTGAGTTTTAATATGACGTTCTGTTAGCTTCTTGAACGTGAATGTTTAGTTTCTTAGGTTTGGGAAGTTCCCTTCAATTATTTCTTTGAATAGGTTCTCTGTTCCTTTCTCCTTCTCTTCTTCTGGGATACCCATTATCCTTCTGTTGCTTTCTAATGGAATCAAGATAGTTCTCATACAATTCCTGCATTGAAAAAAAAACCTTAGTTCTCTTTTACACCTGAGTCATAAGTAGTATTTTTATCTTAACAGTTCAGCAGGTTGATAGGCTTTTTTGCTTTTCCAGTAGATGGTGCTATAGCACAATTTTTCCCCCAACCTGCACTACTTGTTCTTTGGAGCTACAGTAGTTGTGGTGGTGGGGTGTTGCTGAGGCCCTGGGGATTGCTGCCTAGGTGACCGGGGTGGTAGGTATCCCTCCTGTATCTTGGTTGACTAGATCTCACGGCACCACCCCCTGGTTGAGGATGTAGTGGGTGAGGATGAGGGGAACAGGTAGACAAGCCCTCTGTGCTGCCATCTTGTTTCTTATTAGCTGCTATCGTCTTCACTGCTACTTCTGCACCAGTGGGGGATCAGGGAGCTTGATTCTTGGTGCCTTCAGTAGAAACCCTTACTCTCTGCTGGGTTGTAGTGTGAGGCTGCATCCCAACTATTTCACTGCTACCACCTTATCTGGGGCCTAGGTGGCCAGGGAATTCTGTGGGCACCTTCCCTGTTCTGCTGCCATGTATTCCAGTATGTCCACTTTCAGATATATAAGTATGTGGATCTCTCGTGTTTAGAGAAGAAACTGTTGGATTATAGATGTTGCCCCGGTTGTAAATTTAAGGGGAGATACAAAGGGGTTTTCTAACAACCATAATGCTTATGACCTTTATTTGTACTGTACCTTAATTTTATTCCAAATTCTCCATCTTCTTTTATTATCAATCTCCTGAAATGATCTAATTTTTTACTAGTAGTATCACCAGAATGAGTCTCCACCAACAACTCAATTTAGTTTTTCCCACCCTGAAACTGGTTCTTTAGATTTATGCTTATGGGTTTCTGCTCCAGTAAGTTGTGATTCAATTTTGGTCTCCAATTTAGTGGGTTAGTGGTTTGTCCTGTGACCTCACCTCTCTTACGGATTTAAAAAGAGCTGTTAATTTTTCAGTTTGTTGATAGGATTGGAATGGTGATTTCCAAGTTCCTTACATGCTGAACTGGAAACCAGAAGTCATTCAAGTAACACATTTAGCCTGAGCCAACAAGAATTATAATACACAGTACAAATATAATTTTAAGATAATCCACTTTATATTACCAGGAACTATCTTTTCAGGGAAAAGACAATGTACTTATCCCGTGAATCTGATAACCTTTTTAGCCTTGATAAAATCCCATCCTACATGCTTGAAAACCCCCAATCATGACTATCTCCCATACTAGAATAGTACCTGTCTGTGGATGCCATTAGATTTGAGAGCTATTAGCTTTAATAAGCATGTTTTAAAACCAACTGTTGTAATAACAAAAGCCAAGCAGGCAGTAAGCAACATGAGGAATTGGTCTCAAGTTTCTGTAGAAGCACCCAGTTCCAAGTTGTCTCCATCTTGCCTCTTCCCCATGTGCCTTATTATTGGGAATACTACTCTCCAGGTTATTAAACCCAGGAAGCTTCTGATTCTAGTATTCAAAAGAAAATAAAATTGCAAGATGAGTCTGGGGAGACTTAATGAGGTGAAGGTTAGCTAGACAGTGAAGGGTCTGGCAGGTCACTAAACAATGTTTGGATTTATACCTAAATGCAAGAGGAAGGGACTGGAGGATTTGAAAGCAAAGATGTGATTTACTATTTTAAGACAATTTCAATCCTCAGTGGAGAATGGATTGGAGGGGACATGAATTCAGACTAGAAAGATAGCTACCAATTAGGCATCACAAATATATCAATGAAGATTTTTTTTATTCTCACCTGAGGATACTTTTTCCGTATTTGGGAGAGGGGGAGGGAGAGAGAGAACATCAATGAGACACAACAATTGCCTCCCAAAAGCACCCCGACCAGGGGTGGGGGTCAAACCTGCAACCCAGGTATGTGCCCTTGACCAGGATTCAAACTTGGGACCTATTAGCCAGAGCAACAATGAAGATTATTGATTGTAAATAATAAAAATCAATGCCAGTTGATTTAAGTGTTTTATGTTTTAAGAAGCACATTTAAGGATAGCCAGGTTTGGAAGTTTAATTCCTCTACTATGTGAGGCTTATGTTCACGAGGTTTAGGTTTTTGGTTATATAATCAACACAGACCTTAGCTGGTTGGCCAAAGCAAATTGCTGATGTGTGCACTTCATTGATAAATCCAGTCGCATTCATCCTCAAAAACACATTCTATAAAGTTTTTATGACATAAATAAAATCCTATTTATCCTGGGCAAAACTTTGCCTAATTCAGAATTTCCCAAGCTTTGTGAAGTTTAAATACTGATTAATGGGAATGATTTCATTTTGAGGCGTATTTTCTTTATGTAACAGAATTTACAAACATTTCAGAGGGCTTGGGGTCCTCAAAGGCCTCCCTAAATTATACTGTTGAGACTATTTTCTGATTAGTGTGTTCATGAAGCCCTTTGCAGCATTACAGATTTTCACTCTTTTAATTCAGTAATCTCCAAATCAACTTACATTTGGTTTCATCTTATCCCTGCAGCTATTAGCAATATATTGATAGGATTGGCATATAAAAATCCTGGTTCCTTTGCCTTCAAATATTTCATGACTAATTTATATTATCCCTAAATTATCTGCCATGTTCCTCCTCCCATGATAATCTATGGCAATTACCCAAAGGACCAGTTTAGAGTATGCCAAGTTTCTTCCATGAAACCAGATACCACCACTATAGCACATGGACAACTTCAAACCTTTAATCTATCCCTTATAACCAAACCCCGCTTCCCTTTCTGGATCATTTTACAACTCAACTTGTATAAGCATGTAAGGGATCTATGTATTTATATTAACAGCTATCAGAAGTACAAGAGGCACACACCTGAGACACACTACTGAGTAAAGTTTGACAAATTAAGGCCTGCAAATATTGTCTATGCTTAATTAACTATATTTTTAATCAGATTAGAGGCAGAATGGCATAATTATGAGTACTGTGGACTGAGATTGTCTATGCTCTGATCCTGGCACTGGACCTTTAACAGATGTTTGACTTAAGTACATTATGATTGCTACAGACTAAATGAATATATGTCAAGTGCTTTGTAATGTACATTGGAGATACTAAAAGTATAGGCATACCCTTTTTACTGCCATTTTGCAGAAACTGAGTTTTCAACAAAATCAAAGCAGACCCACCACCAGCAAAAAGACTTGAAGGTTCAGGTGGTTAGCCTTTTTTATAAGCAATGAAGTATTAAGGAATGTACATTTTTAAGAAAATATTTTTATTGATTTTCAGAGAGGAAGGGAGAAATAGAAACATCAATGACGAGAATCATTGACTGGTTGCCTCCTGCACGACCCCTACTGGGGACTGAGACTGAAACCCTAGCATGTGCCCTTAACCAGAATTGAACCCAGAACCTTCAGCCTGCAGACTGATGCTCTATCCACTGAGCCAACCTGGCTAGGGCGGCGTGTACATTATTTTTCTAAGACAATGCTATTGCACTTTATAAGATCACAGTATACTGTAAACATGACTTCGTTATGCACTGGGGGAAAAAAATCCACATAACTCACTTAACTGTGATGTTCTATAAACAAACCTCCGATATGCCTGTACTAAAGATCAACAGACTGCCCAGCAGTGGTTGAGTGTGGACCCATAAACCAAAAGGTCATTGGTTCAATTCCTGATCAGGGCACATGCCCAGGTTGTGAACTCATTCCCTGGTGAGGGATGTGCAGGAGGCAGCTGATTGATGTTTTACTCTGCATATCCACTTCCCTTCCCCTCTCTCAAATCAATTAAAAGAAAAGATCAACAGGCCAACAAAATAGCCTACCTATATAAATTTCGGCAGAATTGGCCATTTGCATAAAATTCGGAAGAAACAATACTGAGAACATGCATTTCAGACACTCTCAGAATAAGGGTGAAACTAGTTATTTAATACAATGCCAACCCCCAAGTAGAGAGGATCGTTCTGGTTAAGTAACTACTCCTAGGTTAAAATAAAATCTTTGTAAACTGAATTGTACCAGCACTTTACTTTTCATTTGCATTTATTTAACACAGTTCTCAAAACATTTGAGTGAAATTGGGCCTCCTCTGGTATGCAAAGGACCTGAAATAATATTTAAAAAATGAACAGGCAGTCTTCAGTTCATCCACAACACAGTAGTGTTTCTTTCTCCAAATTCTGAAGCACCCAGTTTCTTTCATATAGTTTAAAAGCTAGAACAAGAGCAAGAGCACATTTGTGGTGGAATGTATTGTCACTTGCTGATAACCAGTTGAAATACCATCATTGAGAAATAGCCTTTTTAAGCCATACATTGTGCCACTCTTTCCCTGCTATATAATACAGATTACATAAAGGCTGACAAATCCACATTAGTATAAGCATTAAGCATTTGCTGTATTGAAAGATTAGTTCTAATACTAGCAGTACTGAGTTACAGAGCATAATTTTTAATATTTAGTTGCAGGTATATTAAGTATGGTAGGTTCCATGGACTAAAGGAAAATGGACATTTTTGTCTTCAAATTTACTATTGACAACCTAGTCTGAACAATTCTGCTAAGCACTGATGTTAGAAAGAAAAGTAAAAATCAAACTTTATTGTTGCTTTTTGCCATTTGGTAGCATTTTACACACAGGCTTCGATCTTCAGAATACCCTGGATTCAGTAGAAAAACCCTTTAAATGAAGTTTTGTACAATAAAAACTTCTCAGCAGTCAAAATTTAGACTGTAAAAAAATACATGCAAAACATACTTTTCTGAAAACACTTAACTTGGAACAAAGCACCGAACTACACAAATGCGAATGAGAACAGCATTTCAACTCCACCAAAAGTAGTCATCATAAAAGGTGTAAAAGTCACCTAACTTCACTAGGCACTGTTCACTTTTTAAACAGGAGACAATAAAAAATATTGTCCACAAACAATATCCAAACTCTAAGAGAGGTTTCAGAAAGCCTTCCACTTCATGCTTTAATAGCGACCTGGAATTGAAGAGAAAAAAGGGCGCATTAATTCTGAGAACTGATTAGCAAGTATATTTTACTGAGAATTTTAGAATGATCTGTCATTCAGATGTTCCTATATACCAGATTCTCTTCTGTGAAAATAGAGGAAGACTTTCACACAAGAGTCACTCTAGAAATGAATCAATGTGAAACAATAGAAATAACTGGGAAGTAATTATCAACCTGAGCTAAGTAAGGGTAAGTCACAAAGATGTTCCCAAGATGTGCAAAAATTACAAGCACTAGTGCTACAAATGGTGGGACTACCTACAGACACACATGCACACACACTTTATTTAAATAAATATATTTCTTATTGATTTCAGAGAGGAAGGGAAAGGGAGAAAGAGACACATCAATGATGAGTGAATCATTGATTGGCTGCCTCTTGCACTGGGGATCGAGACTGCAACCCATGCATGTGCCCTTGACCGGAATTGAGCCAAGGATCCTTCAGCCCACAGGCCAATGCTCTATCCACTGAGGCAAACCAGCTAGGGCTATATTTACTATTTTAATTAGAAACTAGGTTTCAAGGGTTCTTTTCATACCATCTGGAACCCTAAACATAAAGTTTGCGGGATTATCTATACTAATAAAAGGATAATATGCTAATTAGACTAGACATCTTCTGGACAAAGCCCTGGTGGCAGGGGCCGAGGAAGAGGTGGTTAGGGGCGATCAGGCTGGCAGGCATGCGAGTGGTTAGGAGCCAGTGGTCCCGGATTGCGAGAGGGATGTCTGACTGCAGGTTTAGGCCTCATCTCTCCTGGATTGGAGAGGTTGCAGGCCAGGCTGAGGGATCCCCCCAACCCCATGCACAAATTTCGCGCACCGGGCCTCCAGTCTATAATAAAAGTGTAATGTGCTAATTAGACTGGATGTCCCTCCAGACCAAGCCAGGGCTGTGAGGGAAGCCTGGGTCCTAGGTGCCAGAGGGAAGGAAGGCCTACTCTTGCACAAATTTTGTGCATTGGGCCTCTAGTACATAAAACTACTTGAATGAACCCCTTTTCTGCAGAAGAAAGTTACTCTGCTGTGGTTTGGCAAATTAGGTAGGGCAAGCCATATTATCACAATATATAAACTAAATAATATATCAAGACAAAAACTTACGAGGTGAGTATGATCGAGATCTGGAACGTGATCTATATCCTCCACGACTATAGTAAGGAGAAGGTGACCGCCTTCTGTAAATGAATGTCAAGACCATTTAAGATCCCAGAGATCACAATTAGATGAAAAGACATATAATTATGCACAGTCCTTTTATCAGTTTCTAAAACTAGAAGGCTGCCACCAACCCTCAAAAACTTTGTATTAGTCATGGGATTTCAAGGTCTGATCACTCAATACTACCCGAAGTCAAATACTCCTTGCTGTTTCATCCATTGATAATGTACTAACCCATTTTAAATTCTACTAAATATGAGAAAATAAGTCTTTAACACTAATCCCAAGCACGCCCTCAAAATAAATTTCACTAGTGTATCAAAGTGATTTCAATTTGTTAAGACTGACTTAAGTGTTTAACAGCCATCAAAGAAAATGTAGCAAAAGAGAATAGCTATCAGGAATAGATACTAAAAATATTACAGATCCTTATCAATGACCTTATACCCATCATTATCTTATTCAAGTACAAAAATGACACCGAGTAAAAGCTTAACCAATTTCTGCAAATGCACAAAGCCATGGCCACATCACTTGGGGTCAGTTACAACATTTAATGAACTTCATGCAATCCAATCTTGTGCGATGCCACATAATTTAACTACCGAAAGACTAGTAATGGAGCCTTCATGTGAGCCGTTTCTACTATTGTAAGATTTATAACCCTCTCTGGCATACCTGTAAATCTGATCCCTGTCTTGAGCAGCTCTCCATCCTCCTCCACCTCCACCACCTCCTCTGTAAAGGCAAAAATTCATTAATTTTTATGAGTTTTTGAAAGAATTTTCAATTCATGAAGTAAAACAAACATGTGAGATATGAAAGCTAGATTCTTGTAAGTAAAATGATAAAGAGCTACCTTTGCCATTCCTTTAATAAAATGGCATAGAGCTCTCTCTGGTGGCTAAAACAAGTATTAGAACAAAGAATATCTCTAAGTAAATGCTCAAATTAATTAAAATAAAGATCAAATCGACCACTTTAATATCCTCAGCTTCCAAAAGCAATCCCTCAAGTGCTATTTAATGCAAAAATACTCTAAATAAAATGTTGTCCAAAATAAGATGCTGGATATGGCCTCACTTCCATAGACATTAAGACACCAACAATTGTCAATTTCATAAAACATTATCAAATAGGTTTTTTTTTTTTTTAAAGAAGGTATGTATACCCCAACATCACACCAAGATAAGGTATCGTGGATTACTACTGTGGCAATACTTATTACACAATTTACATTCTGACAAGGCAGGGTCTCAATTATTGCTGCTGCTAAAATAAAGGAAACTTGTACTTTGTTTTGATCTTTTCTCAAAAAGATCTTTTGTTTTTCAAGTATGATAGGCATAACCCTACCAACCTCATAAAAATTTGAAGTTCGGTAATGAACAAATTGTTACTATTTTTCTTATATAAATACTTTTATGGACTCTTCCAAGAATCAGCTTTACCTGCCTTTTAGTGCATGATACATTAGCTATACAACCCCCCCCCCCAACTCTGCTTTATAAAGCATTAACTTTCAAAGCAGTTTATTTTGCTTTAAAAACAGTACTAAAAAAAAGGAGGAAAAACTGAAGTATGGTCTGTAATTGTTTCCGCCATGCTCTAAGTATACAGATTAATTTAAAAAGAGATAAAACCTAAAAATCTGGTTTAAAAACTAGCTCTGGTTATCTTGGTATAAAAAGTAATGCTTTTATTAAAGGTGACAAAAGTTATAATGCTTAAGTTATGCTGCAACTGAGGCGCACTCTCCCTTCTAGGACACCTGCACCCACCTTTCCGTTTTCCCTCTTTCTCCCCAGGCATGTTACCTCTGCTTTTCTCTCTCCTAAGCCTCAAGGGCTACTACCTCTGTAACTTTTTACATAAACTTTCTCTTATAATTAGGTGGGGTGAAAAAAAGTTGCAACTGAGGTTCAGAAAAGTTGTTGCTTCACGTCTTTGGCAACTTAAAACTCACATTTTATTATGGTTAACTTACCTGTATGATCTGCTATAGTAGTCCCGATCATCATAGCCTCGATCGTATCCTCTGTCGTAGTAATCACGACGGCGTGAGCTGCCACTGTGAATAGTATTAAATCTTTATAAAATACCAAGTAGCCTTCCCTATTTTTCTAGACATGACTTTTTGCTGTTAAAAAACTGTTTAGACATTTATTAACAGCAGCAGAGGAATGTCATGCTCATTTGGTTCTTAAGGTTAACACAACCTACACAGCCAAACTCTATAGGACATGACTGGGAAATTGCTTCAAGTATAATCTCTTTATCCTCTTCTGGGCAAAAATTCATAGGCTTGTTAATTAACTGGGAAATGAGTATTACTCTCATGTGAATTCTCACTGATAGTGAATAAACAATGCCCCCCCTTGTAACAATGTACATAAATATATATTTTAAAATATATTTTTTATTGATTTTTAGAGAGAAAGGGAGAGGGAGATAGAAATATCAATGATGAATCATTGATCGGCTGCCTCCTGCACACCTCCTAACTGGAGATTGAGCCGGCAACCCGGGCATGTGCCCTTGACCTGAATAGAACCTGGGACCCTTCAGCCCACAAGCGCAGGCCAATGCTCTGTCCACTGAGTACAACTGGCAAAGGCGTACATGTGGCTTCTTACCAAGAGTTTAAAAATTTATAATAGCCCTAGCTGGTTTGGCTCAGTGGATAGAGCAGCCGTGGGCAACTACGGCCTGCAGGCCAGATCCGGCCCGTTTGAAATGAATAAAACTAAAAAAAAAAAAGACCGTACCCTTTTATGTAATGATGTTTACTTTGAATTTATATTAGTGCTTTTGTTCCAGCCCTCCGGTCCAGTTTAAGAACCCATTGTGGACCTCAAGTCAAAAAGTTTGCCCACCCCTGGGATAGAGCGTCCGTCAGCCTGCAGACTGAAGGGTTCCAAGGTTCAATTCTGGTCAAGGGCACATATCTGGGTTGTGGGCTTGATATGCAGTAGGGGGAGCCCAGGAGGCACCCCATCAATGATTTGCTCTCATTGTTGATGTTTTTATCTTTCCCTCCCCCTTCCCCTGAAATTTAAAAAAAAAAAAAAAAAAAAAGTGTTCTTTAAAAATGGGGGAGCACACATACTCTAACATGCTTTCAACTTCAGCCAATTTGCCAATTCCACATTTTCACTCAAAAAAAAAAAAAAAAATCATACGGAGAATGCAGTTTTGAGACTGGGAGTTCAGCCTATTAGAAGATGGCAATTATGGTGCAATTCTCTGCCTTATATAAGATCTTTATACTTAAGTTTTTAAAAATGACTCTAAATTAGAACTTTCTGCATAAGAACTATCTTATTATTAGTTCAGTCCATGTTTTCCACTCTGCTTAAGGAAACAAAAACTAAAGAATGCACTCGAGTATGATTTACACAAACTTGATTTTAACTATAATGATTAAGTTTCTATTCTGGGGAAAATTACCCAAATCAGAAACATTTAATTACCCAAGCAAAGCTGAATATATGGCATTTCTTTATGATACAGTGGGATGGGATCTGTGTAATGGTGTCAATCAGAATTTGTGCCACAATCAGAATGTTTCCACAGAATATGTATTACCAAATAGTTAAGAAAAAAAGGAAAATTATTTATACCATGGCAAGATTAGATGAAATGCCAAAGATTTCCCCATAGCACATGGAAGCGAACAAATTAAATCAATAAAACTTCTATCTTGAAAATAAACTTACTAGGTAGGTCTCCCCATATAAATTCCTGGTGTTGGGGTATGTGGTCTTTTGGTTATAGAGAAATCAACTCTGATTCTACGTCCATCAAGCTCCATTCCATTGGCACGCTCTTTTGCCTGATAAATAAATAAATAATAAATACATAAATACACACACAGTTGTTACATACATCCTGGACAGTCACAAACTATCCAGTAGTTAAAAAATAAAGTCTGACTGGATGTTTCAGTTAGATCCATTAATTTATTTCAATGTTGATAGAACATCATGGCCCACAACTTTACGTCGTTTCTCCTATTAAATTTTTTAAAAGGTAGTCATAAAACTCAGGAGAAAAGTTTATCAAAAAAGCTACAAAGGTCAATTTAAATCAGGTAATTGAAGTAATTGTTATTTTTAGCAACTTACAGTGCTTCTAGCTCTAAAGCAATACATATCCGACAAACCATTAGGTATGATTTGAAATGGCTGGGAATAAGATTTCATAAGTGTATATGAAATTCAAATTTCAATGGCCACAAATGTGAAGTCCCAGCCATGAATTTACAGGTTGTCTACTGCTGCTTTTGCATTACAATGACAGCATTGAAAAGTTGTGACTGATAGTCCCCTAATGGCTCACAAGGCCTTAAATATTTAGTAATTTTTAACAAAAGTTGATGGATCCCTGCTATGGAAGCAAAAAGCTGGAATGAAGACAGCTACATAAAGCTCCTTCATCTAGAATATACAGCAATGAAACTTCAAAGCAAAAATAAAATAAAAAACCCTATTCCAAAGACTTAGCTGCTGTTTGTCCACCATTTAAAGAACACCCTTTCCATAAGTAGATTTTAACTTCCAATTATGCTTTTTATTGTTTGAAAGTTTAAGCCCTCAGAAGATAGTTTCTGGCACTACTGATTCAGATACAAAATATTAGTATGCTATTCTTCAGAAAGCTGTGTACTGTAGCAGAAAATTAGGGAAATAAGGCCTATGTTACTAGTAACCATGGGAAAAACCCTATTTATATATGTTTGGAAATCCTTTAAATATCTTAAATTGTAGTCTATCTTAATTACTTGCATTTAGCTTTCCATTCTTCCTTTAGCAGTTCAGGTTACTCTTACGGTTTTCAAAATAAGTACAGTTTTCATAAATAACCATGTAATTTTACCTAGAACTGAATTCCCAATTTCAATATTGACCTAAGATGGTTTATCACTGTTTCCCAAGCTTTTCTCTTCTTTATACCATCCCTTGGAGATGACTCCAGCTATTATCTGTATACAAATAAAGTCCAAATTCTAAAAATATGGCCCATATTCACGCTGTCAATGTTCACTTTTAGTCAACATACTAATTTTTTTTACTTCCAACATTCTGCCTGAAGTCAATTAACATTTAAATATGAACCAGATCCTTTTTGAGTCATAACTATCAATTTTAAATATTCTTCATTGTAGAAAATGGCTCAATGCAAACACTGATGAGATAGTCTAAAGAGTATTAACCTTCAATAACTATACCTAGTATGTATATCCTATCTGGAACCAGTCATGTATGAAGTGCTGCCCTCAGGTTTTACTTCAAAATAATGTGGTGGTGATGTTGGGTGACTGAGTTAGAGGTATAGCAGGCCAGAAGTTAAGTATACTGAAATGGGGCATAATATAACCAGTTGCCCTAAGTCACACTTTGTTGTTCTGTATATATTTGAATTTTTCCATAGTAAAAGTTTGAAAAAGTTCATAAGTATTACAGGTTTCAATCTTTTCCCAGAAGTTGCATTTCCTGTAACTCAAGCTACATTTACACATTCTACTTACAATATTAAAAACCAAAGTTGTCCTTCCTAAAATACTTGGAAGTTTGTAATAGGGCTGCTAGTTTACAAGGTACAGGCAGGCTTTTACTTACTTCCTTGGCATCATCTACATTTTCAAAATATACAAAGGCAAATCCTCTTGAACGTCTAGATTGCTGGTCATATACGATAGACACATCAGCAATGGGGCCATATTTAGAGAATACTTCTCTTAGATCTCTTTCTGTAGTGTACAAGCTCAATCCAAATACTCCAAGACAACAGTTGGGATCAGGATTTGCCTAAAAATAGAAAAGTAGATTTTAAAACTTTGCCATAAATCAAATAAAAAGGAAACAGCATAAACAAATTAGCCAAAAGTGTCACTACGAATAAAAGTAAACAGACTAAATAAACACTTTAAAAATGCATGTGTTACAGCAAGTGCTGCAAGCATGTTTAAGAATGGGCAGAAAGGCCCTGGCCGGTTTGGCTCAGTAGTTAGAGCATCGACCCACAGACCGGTTAAGATTCCGATCAAGGGCACGTACCTCCGCTGCAGGCTTGATCACCGGCACCGGTCGGGGCGTGTGCGGGAGGCAACCAGTGGATGTGTCTCTCTCACATCGATGTTTCTCTCCCTCTGTCTCTCCCCCTCCCTTCCACCCTCTCTATAAAACAAACAAAGAAACAAACAAAAATCAATGGAAAAGATATCCCAGGTGATTAACTAAAACAAACAAACTGTCAGAAAGAATTACAACAGGAGCAATTTTAATCTTAGAATTAAGTAGAGGGGGGTAAGGGGCACATACTATTAAAAAACAAACTCTTTGGGGGTGGAGATTAGAGGGCAATTTTGAGTGATTCACTTTCTAGGAATTTATTTTAAGAAATGCTCACATAGCCTGGCTTGTGTGGCTCAGTGGTTGAATGTTGGCCCAGGAACCAAGAGGTCACCAGTCAGGGCACATGCCTGGGTTACAGGCTCGATCCCCAGTAGAGGGTGAGCAGGAGGCAGCCAATCGATACCCCTCTCATCCATGTTTCTATCTCTATCCCTCTCCCTTCCTCTCTAAAAATAAAAACAAAAAGTTCACACAATCAGAATAGCATTTGTCTCTACAAGCCAGATAAATACATGATAAACTAAAAATGCTGAGTTAAAATATAGGGAATGCTAGGCTTGATCCTATTTTTAGAAACAAAGTATTCACATACACACACAAATGAAGTCAAAGATGTACACTAAACTGTTAACAGATATTAAACAGCTTGCTTGCAATTATTATAAAAAGTGAACCACATCTTGATGACATTCCAGTTGCCATAATGAATTTACCCTGTTTTCATTTTTTTACTGCAAATTCCACTCCACTCTCAAAAACAAACACACACCCTACAAAATCATTTGGATTATACAATGAAATCACAATATAAATTACACTAAATGCCATCTCATTTGGAACCTCTCATGGAAGACAAGAAAAAGCCTTACTACCCAAAAGAAACTTGCTTACAATTAAATGGGAAAGCATTATATAATAGGTATTAATAACCAACACAGAAAACTTAAGTAACATAAGTATGGAACAGATACATAGATGCTATATGATCTAATGTACTAATATTATAACAATGCACATGAAGTTTTATTTGATGCTCCATTGTCAAAATCATTTCTAACTTCAAAGAGATAGGACTATTAAATTAAGTGGTTTTAGACAGTCTATTGCTTCAAAAACACAGAATATATTTTTCATCATACCCGATTCCCGACATGACGTCTGCGAGTAGACATGGGAGAATGACTGTGGCTATGACGCCTCCGATAGTCTCGACTGTAAGACCTGCTCCGGGATCGTCTATGGGAGCGAGACCGAGATCGTGATCTTGTATAATGCCTTCGAGAACTTCTTCTGGATCTAGACCTGCAAAACAAAGGCTCCAAAGGTAATGACTAAATAGCTGACAAAATATGGCTTTCAATTTTTTTTAATACTCTAGAGTTAAACTCCAGAAGACAGAACACAATCCAGGCATATACTAGCATGATACCAAATGGGTGGAATTGATACCCTTTTTTTGTATTAATAGTCAATTCAACTGTTAGAGTTCCAAAACCATTAACTCTCTTCCAACCTTTCTTATTAAAAAAATAAAGTGAACACATTCAATTATCTTTTGAAAATCTGGAAACATGCATCCATACTAGCTTAATTTATCTCCCTCTCAGAATACCACCCTATTTTCCTGCTTCTCCCATTATGCCCACCATTCACTTAAGGTAAAATCACCATCATAGTAGCTCCCTCTGCTGTGTTTTAAAAGCAACCAGTTGCTCTTAACTAGATAGAGTGATGATATGAATCGTCATCTAAATCAGGATGGACACATTATGAGAGAGAAAAGGTACGGTTAATGATGCTTCATAACAGGCATATAATGGGGCTGTCCTGGGCAAACCAGGATGTATGGCATACTTCTGACCAACATTAAAAAAAAAGTACACGTTATTACTTTTGCTTTATACATACATTCAATATAATACTAGCCTACACCTATTAATAAAAAACTGCAGTGACTGAAAGCCAATGTTCTGCAGTATATTTGCAATAAGTAGGTTACTTATACTCAATTCTGAAGAACTGGTACTATTACTAACTTGCCTTTATATAAGGAAACTAAGGTGGAAAAAGGTTAAATAATCTGTCCAAACCAGAAAAAACAGGTAAGATTTGAGGCCTAACTCAAAAGCCCAGGCCTTTAACGATTAAATAGTCTTCGGTCTTCTAGAACTTATGATTAACTTAATTTCTACTAAGGATTATACAGGCCAACAAATAACCGAATCCTCTCTATCTTCCTAGTTTACAAAGTTCACACCAATTTCAAAGCTAAGAGCAACAGTCTTTCTTACCTAGATTCAGATCTGGACCTGGACTTTGATCTGGAACGCCTGGAATCTTCCTTGGAGCGAGACCTTGCAGGGGTATGCCTTGCAGATTTCCCAGATCCATGAGCACTTCCACTTCTGGAAGCAGAACGGGATTCCTACACGTAGATGTCAAAAGTTTAATTTGTATACTTTCTGGGCAACTTTAAAAACAAATAAGCTGCTGTGAAATAAATGGTGAGGGAAAGCAATCCCCTTCCAAGGTAAGAAAATATAAGGGCAGGAACTGAATATACCCAGTACAACAGTTGCATTGCTCCAATTGACATAAGTCAATTAACTTGAACTTCCACCTTTTTGGAGCAGGAATAAGTTAACTGATCCACTTTCTTCAGAAAGGGGTGTCAAAGCCAAGCAGCTGAGGGATTGTCCAAGGATTGTGTTTAGGGAATGTTACTCCATAAAGATTAGGGTGAAAAACAACCTTATTAAAAATAACTATGACTTTTATCCATTATACCTATTTCAATCAAGTTACCATCAATAAAAACAAAACCCTATGAAATTCATAAAACTTACTTTTAAAATGCTTTTGATTTTTTATTAAGACCTCAACTTTTCAAATTGTTATTCAGCGGGAAGAGAGACAAGGACAACCTTTTTCAAATCCTAGAGAAATGTAGAAGCCTAGTGGAAAGCAAGGACCAGCTTGAAGGACACCAGACAGTTAAGACCCTGTTCCATCTAATCATGGTGGGAGGCCTTGGAAGACCCAGAAACAAACCAGATGGAGCTACAGCAGAAAGGTAGTCAATTGCACAAAGGTAAGAAAATAGAGAGGATGCCAGAGAACTACAGCTTCCTCAGTTAAATGGAGATGAGCCAGGGCAAATGGGAAGTTAGAAAAGCTATCTAACGTACCTATTAAAACCAGAATATTAAATTAGGAGCTTCTAATCTAGGCTTAGAAAGGGAATCCAGGAATTATATGTAAAACCGAAGTCTAGGTATATACTATATACCCGTAGCTTTCCCAATCAAAACTAGGATTAGCCAGTAGGTAAGTGGCACAGAAGGAAGATCTCTCTCAGAACAAAATGAATAGGATAACCAGCAGTTCACCAAAGACCAACTAATCAGCAGAAAAGGCATACATGTATAAGTAGTAATGGAACCAGAGAAACATTCTGCCAAATGAAGAAACAAAAAATTGGATAAGAGAACACCCACACTTACACTACCGACAGCTAAGGCACCATCAAACAAGACAACCTTTATTTCAAGTTACCAAATGTTAGGCAAATTAAAAGGCATAAATAAAGTCCAGTGAGTTTTTCCACCCAAGATAGAATAAAAATGGCCAGATACAAAAGGAACCAACATTACTGTGGAGGGAAGAATGGATGTTGAAACTGCTGGATAAAAGTTAGGGACCTCCCTTTGTGGTAGATCTTTAGAATATTCTTGAAAAAAATAGAACAGGATTACTTTTAAATTACAGCCTCAAGCATTTTAGACTACGTTCTAGATTTACAGCACAATGGAGAAAATTTGGAGGATCCTTCCTATGACACCCAGAGAAAAAATTTAAAAATTGAAGATTAGAATAGGGAAGAAAAGAGTTAACTCAGCCTGTAAAATTGAGTTCTGGTTTCTAGGCCATAACAACTTTAGAAACTTTCCCAACACTTCAAAGTCATCATAAAATATGGTGTGATGTGAGATGAAATGCGAAACTTTCCACTCCTTCCCTCTAGGAGTGATAACAAAGTCAAAGAAATAGATGGTACTTTTGGACAAAGTAATTTTCAAAAATGGGAGCTTAGTTTCTAGCACAGGCAACATCTAACATAGAATATAATAATGGAGACCCAAAAGTTACTAAACACCTTTGTTTACTTCACTACCAGAATGATTATGTCATAGAACAATTATAACCTTTAATGGAAGCCAAAGAAGAAAACTTGCTCTGGAAGGAAGCAGAATATGGGTGCTTCACAATAAGAGTTAAAAAGATTACCAACAAAGTTATGCAGTTAATTGGAACTAGTCAGCATAGGGATCTATGTAGAGAGGGTCAAGATTCTTCTTTAAAAAGCCTCTTGCTTAAAAAAAAAAAAAAAAAAAAAGCCTCTTGCTTTATTAAACAGAACAGCCTTATTCTAAGCTGAAATGCTTTTTATTAGTCTGTTCACTAAGAGAAGAGATAGTAATTCTAAGCCATACTGAGACTTCCCCCACGAAATTCTAACAGATCAAGAATTTTAAGAATTCACGCAGCCTCTGAAACTACCTGGCATATATATTTTGTGGGCAATTATTTCTTTAACCAGGAAAGGGGGAAACACCAGAATGCAAAAATTTCCCTTTCTATACTGATACTTGGTTAGGTTAACATCTAAACAATGCCTGCACCAACTGTTCTCACCAGGAATATCCTTAAAGAAGTTAAACCCCTTTGTAGTTATGTTGGCCATTAGCTGGCTTGGAAATACATGCAAGGAAATTTAGCCTGTCTAGAAGAAATGAGATCTAAAATTAAATTACTAGCCAAATCTAAAAGCACAGAGTTAACTTTAAACCTTAATCCACAGGCAAATCTGTAAAACCAGCTGGGAAAACCCTCTACACAAGGAAAATTTCAAGTCTACTCTCAGCTGACAAACTACTGGTGTCAACATTAAATCCTACCAAAAGAAGCACTACTCTGAACCTCTGTACCTCAAGGAGAAGAATCATGAACTAAGATGAGCACATTAAAACAAAGACAAAAATTCCCTGAAAACCTCTTGAAGAATTCAGTTATGAATTAGATGTCAATCACATAGTAACATACAACCTACAGGAAACACATCAGGAAAAAAAGTTAGCCTTCCAACAGAACACCTTATTTCTCATTCCCCTATTCTGAGAAGGCAGTAGCTTAGAAAACCTTTAAAGTTGACAGGAGTGGGAATAACCACCCAATTGCTATGTTTCTTCTGTATTATTTTTTAAAGACTGGATGCAGTAATTTGATTTAAAACTGACTCTTGTAGACCTACAGTATTTAAAAACACAAGTCCCCTATCTGGAGCTGATTTTAACTATTGTCTAGAATTGGGTATCTTCATTTCTTAAAAGCACCACACGTTTATGATGCTAGTTAAGTCTCACTGACTTAGCCAACCTCTGAAGTGTTATACATCCTACCTTTTTTTTTCCCTCCACAAAGGCATCTTCCTGGAACTTTGTGCTATCTCTGCTTCACCTGCACCCCTCCCTCACATTAATCAGCCTTACCTTACTGCCCAGGACAAGAGGTCTGCCCCTCTTCACCCCCAAGGGGAAACAAAATACCTTAATGGGTAAGGTGGTCTAACATCAATGTTTATTTTTGCCCTTTATCTACCTTGGGCCATTTAATCAAACCTTAAACTGCCCCCCCCCACCCCCTTTGAGGGCTAATTAAGTCTTTTCTCTTTTGGACCTCAAGAACCTTTCAGCTGCCTAATAAAAGAACCCAGGGCTTGAACAGAAGTATCCACTCATATCACTTTCACCTCAACTCTCTGCCTATTTGTAATTCAGGATGCAAAGTTACATAATGAATTTAATTATTAGTTTGTAGGCAGAATATTTTTTATTTATTTTTTTTTACAAAGCAGTAATGGGGCAAGGCAAATGCTGGAAATTGTCTCCTATAAATGGCAATAATTTTCTTCTCCTTGCAAGATACAGAAATAAACACTACAAAAAAAGGCCAATTTCACATTGCTGATAGGCCCTAATATCTCAGAAAATGGGATCCCTCTAGAAATGCAACTTAAGCCACTTTTTCCATGAGCAGTGGATCCAACAATTCTGAGTAAAGTTTTTTAAAGCTGTAATTCAATTTATTGGGGTAAGATTGGTTAATAGTTATATAGGTTTCGGGTGAGAGGAAAAGTTTTTGGGTTTTTCATTTCAGAAAGGAGAAGTGATAACCTTGGCTTCTCCAATAGGGTAGAAGACAGCTGTTGGTTGGCTATCATTGAGTATTACTTTGATGTGTACTTGTTCCATCCAACTGTAGGCAACATCATTACAATCATCTGACTCTTCTATTCAGCTACAACAAAACATACAGAAAGGAAAATGACAGAACTTTTAGATTTATTCTCCCATAAGTGGTGGGAGTGGAGAACCAGAAGAAAGCTACTTTATAAACCTATACCTCTTACATCATTATAATAGGTTAAGTGTTAATAGCAGAAAATGAGAAAAAGAAATAGAGCTGATTTTGGAATGAAGCACCTGCTACTATTGCCATTTTGAGTTAGATATCCTGTTCACTTTTACGTGTGACCCACCTTATTCTAAGGGAAGCCTCGGTGTTTTTAGCAGTAACCCTTCTCATTCAGCTGGAATAAGCATTAAACAGAAAAGAATTAAGAATCATCCTTGTGAATTTAGCACACATGCATCTTAAAGTTAGGACCTAAGTGGTCATAGCTTTCCACTATTGCCATCTGTAAGGAAATTTGTTTTCATAAATGCCAAAAGTATCCTGTTCAATGCTTTGCTTGGATTTTGAGGGCTTGGTTCTATAACCACTCTCATGACATTCTTTAGGGAAATTATGACAACATCCTATTATATGGGAGTAGGGGGAAGTAGGTTTACAGTTGTTCCTATGGAAAAAAATAATACAAACTTTCCTGCATACTCAAAACTGTAAACCTACTTTTGCCCCACCCTGTATATTTGCTTAGTACTTTAGGGGTCAGTGCATAGTAAAAGTCCAGGGGGGTGGCAGAGACCACCAGTTCCAACTCTGGAGGTACTTATTCATGTCCCTAGGAGCAGCAGTTAGAAAGACGAAAAAGTCTAGAGGAAACATCATGAAGCCAACTTTTACCCATGCTGGAAAGCTCATTCCTGCCTGGTATTTGACTACAAAGCGTTATTTTATTAAAAAAAAAGTCGCATTTCAATATAATTTGACTAAGAAGTTAAAATTAGAATTACCTAATTTAAACGTTCCCCCTGGAAGGCACTTCTTTACCCTGTATATATTTTCTTCTATTAAACAAATAATGCATGCATGTTTAGCAAAATATACAGGGACACATAAACAGACTAGTAATTACTTAGCGTAGTGCTTTCTGATTCCAGATTACTTCTTATCTTAACTTCATTTTTATTTCTTTTCTTCATTCTTCCGTTTCAAATTCTGACTTCTTTCATCTTCCCCACTTCACACAAATTGCTCAATATTCTACAAGTGGGACTTCTGGTCTGATAATTAGCATGCATTCTTTAATTTTTTCAAATTTCAGCTTCACTTATTCCTGAGCTTCAAATACTCATTTATAAAACTTGTCAAATGACGACTTCCGCATTTTCCTTCTTCAACATTAACCTTAATAGAAAAAGAACAGGATGAAGAATATTTTAAAACTCCAGGATAAAATCCAGTGCCAAAACTGAAACTAGAAAAAAAAAAAATCCCTTGTTTTTGGATTAAAAAAATAATTAAAAACACCTAGAATATGCAGCTCAAAAACCTAAAACTATAGTCTCCTGCTGGTTCTAATAAATATATGGTAATCAAATCTCATTTGTCATGCTTAAGTTGAATGTGAAGTGCGCTACTGAACATTTACTGTTCATCTAACATTTTAAGAACTAAATCTCACACTTCTTATTTTATCCATCAATTGAAAATATGTTAAGTGTCAAAAGCACAACTCCAGTCAAAAAGTGACACGTAAATACAAAAGTGCAAGAAAGGAAAGCATGAACAATTCATTTGTACAATGATGACAGGGCTCGGGGTAGGAGAGATTTACAAATTGTGACTTGTCTTATAAGGTCAAGAAATGTACTTAATGTCACACATTTTTGTACCATATGTCTAAAGAGCTCTATAGAAAGCCAATGTCAGGGAATCTGAAAATTTGGATTATATTTAAGTGTTCAACCTATCCCTAGAAAACTGCTCTAATAAGTTTTTATATTCGGAATGGTCCAATTACTCAATTTAAACTAAAACCAAGTCAACCAACTACTACATTCAAGTGAAGGAAAGCAGAACAAATTAAGAGTGCAACATTGGTATTTTCAAATAATGTTGTAAACTCGCCCCCCTCAATGAACAAATATTAAAATCTTCTGCAGTCCAAAGGAGAAATTTTACTTTTTTAAAGGTGGCAATATGGGGAAAAGTATAGCTCACCTCGAAGTTACTAAAAATATTTAACATCAATATACTAGTGTCTGTTCAATACCCTAAACAAAATGTTGTCCTCATAAAACATCCTAGTTTTCCTGCATTTCATCTTACGTCTTCTGTTTCCCTGTCAACAATTTCCTCTCCTAGTTTTATTTTCTTTCTGGGAAAAACAAAATTTTCTTTAAAAAAAAAAAAAAAAAAGTCTTTATACCTATCTGGGCATAAAGACTGCCATGGCTATTTGTGGAAGTGCTGTCTTTTCTAAGAAAGTAAGCCTAATTTCAATATAGTTTTAAAAAGTCAATTATTGTTTACTTAACCCAGGAAAAACTTTAAATAGGTTTTCATTTAAGGGAGTCACAGTAGTTAATTTTCTTTTAGTATCCATCACTAAAATGTAATGGGAACTGTTTGCTAGCAGCACAAATGTAATCGTGGAATCAGAATGCCCAAGCAGGTTTCCTCCTAGGGCTCCTAAAGTGTATGTACAGATACAGGACTTTGATGCAGAAGATACTGGCATGGAGGCCAAAGCTCTAGATATCACAACTTATCAATATGGACGCCTTCCTGCTGTTATTACTCCTTCCCAACCTTTCCTCTTTTTTAGTTGAACTATAAGATACACTACTAAATAATGTAAATAAGAGGTTTATTTCAACTTAGCTACCAACTGGCCACTTTATAAAACCAAAAGACCAACTATTGAGCTAATTACTTGACGAGATCCTACTTAGAAATAAGCAGAAACTTTTCCCATCCCATCAACAAATTTTCTGTTAAAACGATTCTAGAGGTTACAAGTGGAATTCATGTAACATTAAAAACGTGCAAACTCATTAGGCTGATTGCAAGGTTAATATTTTAAAAACTGGGAGGGAGCAAATCAAACCTATTATGGTCAATTTTCATATCACTATAAAGACTATTTAATTTTTTTGCAGCCACTCTACCAGAAGATTGGTTAACAGAAAAATCCTCAAACTGAGAATATGCTCTGAAAAAAACCCACTATCTGACATGCCTCCATCAGTTTTCAGCCCATGCTTGAGATCTCCTGCAAAAACAGTATTCTAAAATTTACATGCCTAAAACATTCAGTACTTTCCAGCAAAATCAAGTTTAAGTATGCCTTTTTACTTTCAGAAGACTACCTATTCTTCATCTAATACTAAAGCACAAAAATCAATGCAAAAGAGGGACCTCATCTCATGCTATCATATTAGACCATCTATGTTGATAAAAGTAATAATCTGAAAATAACTCCCAAAATCCAATTCAAAGCAAAGATTTGGGGGAACTTGAAGACTAATCTGCTGTAGTTAAGAACTTTTGTGGCTTGCAGCTTAAAAACAAAACTGACAATACCTAATTCCATGTGGCCCACACCACCCAAAACTAACCTTGGTAAAACACTTAAATTTTTTAAATACTAGTCACCACCCCATCACTATACACTGTGAGATAATACAATTTATGTATAAATACATATCAACAAATGACACTGCTAAAGTGCAAAAGATACAGACAATTGTAGTTCGGTACTCTTGGGCAAAAACGTCAACTATAAAAATACTCATCACTTAGGTTTGGGGTTTTATCAGCCATAAATGGGAATTGGATGTACAAGGGGAATTCCATGTAACATATCTCACCATCTAATTCCTCTCCATTTCCCCCCAACAAAACCAGTATTACTTACCTTATCACTTGGAATTTCAGTTTCACAATGTCACTTTCTAGTTTCAGACATTATCCACATAATTAAAATATTCTTAGCTAACCTGGTTTCAAGACTCATACCTAATCACTCATAACGAAACAAACAAAGCAAACTATTTCCTCTCACTCCATAAATTCAATCCTTTATTAAAGGAAATTGGTGCAATAGCTACAATTTTCTAGAAAAGAATTAGATTGAGATGTTTCAATTATAAAAATTAGAATTTGGGGTTAAAAGCAAAGAATACACAAAGAATTCAGGATTAAACAGAAAACAATGCAGAATCTGAAGGGCAGCTTGATGTGATGGTATGTATCCAGACACTATTCATGTCTAAAGAAAGTTAAGACTAGTACCTATATTGCAAATACGTCTACAAAAAAAGCCAATATTCTATCAAATGTGACATAACTGTTAAGAGTGCCTCTTATGGCAAAGATGTCAGCCCCTTTGCAGGAAAAAAAAAAAAAGTTTGCAGGCAAGTTTTGGAAATTCTGGATACTTTAATTTGGAGACCATAAAAAAAGACAAAAAAAAACAAAAAACATCTTATTTTTGCATGGGTTTGGCCAGGATCAGGGATCTCAAACCTAATTAGAGACACATTTCTTGAATTTAAATACACTTTGACACAAAAATCCCAGGTAAAGGTAAAAGGTAGATTCTGCCATAAAAGTGACATGAACCACAAATATTCAAGAACACACCCAACATATACATTTAAAATAAGACAAGGGGAGACACACTATATTAGTTCTATGAGGATAATTTATTACTGCATTACACACACAACATTTCTATTTAGGAGATGAACTACTTACAATGTCTAAAGGATTGGGGCAAAAAATTTCTGGAGTTACTTTGGGGGTTGGGAGAGAGTGGATTAGAGATTTATATAAATAAGGGGTAAGATTACAGCGGAATTGAGATTTGTATGAGTGATTTATTTACATGATCAGTTTGGAATGTTTGAGAGCCTAGAGTGAAATGAAAAGTAATTTTTCAGGCTCCACAAAGAGGCTACAGGCAAGTCCAAGATTACTGCCCTGAAAGCAACTTTTTCACTGCTTTCAGGCAGGTTTTTTTGCTAATCAGACCTGACTGTTCTACCTCCCAGTCCTTCTTATGGTATTTTATTTAACTGTTCCACTGACCTTTATGGCTTGCCAAGCATTCTTTGGGAGTCCAAACACATGTTTTACGTCTATTCTAACAACTTAAGGTTCCAACCACCCGTTGGAAAGCAAACATACAAAACACCAAACCAAATAAAATGGAAGTATCCCACAACTTCAAGTTTAGAAATGTCTTCCAGGAAAAGTCATGACTCCTGAGTAATAAAGTTTTTTCTTCTAATATGTAGCTTAAAGTTATTTTATATCTTTCTCTTTCCATAATAATTTAGTGAATACCTAGTCTATGTAATAGCATTATGGAAAACACTAGGATGTATACTCTACTAGAAGAAAATATGCCCGCTTCAAAAAAAATTCTAATAAATAGGATGACACCTCTTCAGCTGTCTCAAACCTGAACTTAACCACAACTGTTTCCCTTATGTAAAACATACTAACTTATTTTCTTTTAGGCAAATTTTCATCTCCACAAGCTCACGATCTTAGTAACTCTTCCAGGAATATTCGACTAAGCTAGTCAGTCGTTTTGTTGTCCCTAAACAGTGCAAAAGTACCCAGTAATTGTTTTGTTCAATCACTGAGGACTAAAAATTGTTATTTGCTTTCCAGTACAAATACCAGTGACTAGTTTCCAAAGTATATTCAACTAGTAGAAACTAGAAGTCACAGCTTTCACAATTTGTGAGCCCAATTCAAACTTTCTTACCCTAAGAAACATTCACCTGAATATATAAGGGAGACCTGATTAGTTCAAACCAAATCAAACAGGTTTGGCTCCAATGTTACACAGTAAGTTCACTAATGTGCCAGGAGCTAAGATATTTTTAAACAACCTCGAATCTGTTTTACACGCGTTTGCTAAGATATTTGAGATTTACCTGACAATTAGACTTATTTTAAGGTGGCTCTACTAGAAAGGGGAAAAAATCTTAACAAGTAACAGACTGTAAAAACACCTACCTTATTTCTAGCAAGTTAAAAAAATCAAGTTCTGCGGTGCTTTTTATCATTCTTCTAACAAATTCTCCAAACATCCAAGACTCTGGAAAGCCTTGCATTGTTGCATCTTAAAGCCTACACCCCGCAACCAACCTTAATAACATGCTGTTTAAAACCTGGGAACTGTTTTACTACTGAAATCTAATCAACCCGCACCGAACGCCACACCGGGGAGGTGGAGACTTAAAAAGGAAAAAAAAAAAGAACAGGTACAAGTGATCCACAGAATTAGAATGCCTTGAAACAAAAGAAGTAACGGCGCCATAAATCGTCGTTGCCCGCCAATTTGTCCTATACAATCCCATGGAAAAATATCTACTCCATAAAATAAGAAAACGTTATTCCTTGTGGTCTATTCTATTGGTATACTCTGATGAGTTTTGGTTTGAAAGCCCTTTCGGTATCAAAGAAAAGCACTCCATTTAGGCCTAACACAAAGCCCGCGCGCCATCTCCTCAAATTAACGGGCCGAGAATTTAGTCTACCTCAGGTTAGTTCTCCCCACCCTAAAAGAAGCCCCAAGAACACACTAGGTTCCATCCTTGGGGTGGGGGGGGAGGGCCTTCGTAAGACGGCCCTTTCTTAATCCAAATACCGGTGTAAGACCCCAAAGAACGTGCTCTTCTTTTCCTAACCAAGTAGCCCTGTGAGGCGCGGGGCCGGCCCGCGTGGACGCGCGCCTCTGCCGCCATTTTGTGCCTCTGGCAGCGCGCCCAGCACGCCAGCCCAAGATGGCGGCGGCGAGGCCTCGCTGGAGAGCAACGGCGAAATAAGATACTGCTCCCCTCCCCCAACACCGAGGGGACGCAGCGGCCATTTTAATCCCCCTTATAACAGAAAAAACCGCCGACTCGGGTCCGAGGCCACCTAAACCTGCCTCTCTGGTCTTCCTTACGAATAAAAACTATTCACAAACGCTTTTTCAATCCGACTCCTCTCCTCCCGGCCTGACTTCGGAGCCGAAGTCGCCCAACTCCCTGTCCGAGGCCCACAGGCCTGAAAAGAGATGCAAGAAGGTGGGACCACACATTCGCCCCCTGTAGCACCTCTACGTACCCGCTCGCCGTAGTTCTGCTCGCCGCTGTCGCTCATGACTCCTAGATGATGCTGCTGCTGCTGCTGCTGCCGCCGCCGCCGCCCGGCTCGATGTGCTTCAAGCGAAGCTGCCAACCTCTTGCACCTTCTTCACAGAGGCTCGGCCGCAGCCTGTCACCACCACAAGTTTCCACGCCGCTGAGAACCCGACCGCTCCGCACGGCTGCCACACGGGCTCTAAGTCTCGCGGATGTGACGCAGCGTCTATAATCCGGCTCCGCCCCCTCTCAAAACGCGCGCTTTGTTGGCCCCGCCCCTCGGCGCTGGAGTCCCTTCCCCGCCAAGGCGCGGCTAGAACCGGATGTGACGTAACGCCGCCTTTCGTGGGGCCCCACCCCCTTCTCCGTCTGAGCGAGGCGGGAAAGTGAGCCCGGCCGTTGGCCTCCGTGGTGCTGGCCGCGGCAGTGATGCCGCCCGGTAACGCCTGACTGCTTTCTGGAACTTTACAGGGAAACCGTCGTCGGCAGAGGAAGGAGAGGGGGAGATAGCCACCGTTTCTCCTATCTTTCATTTCTTTTTTCTGCTTTATTCGTTTCTATTTTTGTGCCTTCTTTTGGGCAGATATCCATGCACTGTGTTCTTTATTTTGCATTTACTTAGCCTTCATTGTAGGTCTTTCTTTGTTAAATAAACGTTCATTTAAGCACGTATTAAATGCCAAAGCGCTTTACTAGATCTTGATGCACTGACGTCAATCTCCGAAGAAGTTAGTCAACTACGATTTTAAGTGCTAGAGGCATGTACAACTATAGTAATGTCACAAGCAGGGAAGATTGAGCATTCCGTCATGCAACTTTCCATGGTTTCAGTTACCTGGGTCCACTGGTCTGAAAATGTTAAATGGAAAATTCCAGAAATGAACAACTTAAATTTTTAATTGTGCGCCATTCTGAGTGGCAGGATTAAATCTCATACCATCCTCTGTCCAGCCTGGGATGTGAACCATACCGTTACCCAGCCACTCCAGGCTGTATACCCTCCCAGCATTGCAGTGCTTGTGTTCAAGTAACCTTTATTTTACTTAACAGTCGCCCCAAAATGCAAGAGTAGTGATGCTGCCAAAAAAAAAGCGTCCTAAAAGTGCTTCCTTTAAGTCAGAGGTTCTCAACCTGTGGGTCGCTACCCCTTTGGGGGTCGCCTAAGACCATCCTGCATATCAGATATTTACATGACGTTTCATAACAGTAGCAACATTACAGCTATGAAGTAGCAACGAAAACAATTTTATGGTTGGGTCACAACATGAGGAACTATATTTAAAGGGCCAGAAGGTTGAGAACCACTGCTTTAAGTGAAAAGATGAGTACAGTACAATAAAATATTTTGAGAGAGACCACGTTTACATACCTTTTATTACAGTACTAGAGGCCTGATGCATGAAATTCATGCAAGGGTAGGCCTTTGCAGCCCCCGCTGCTGGGGGTCTCACAGCCCTGGCTGCCTCCTGGCCCCGCCCCCTGCCCACACATGCCTTGGACTGGCGCTGCCAACATCTGCCGCCACACACCTCTAGTTCCCTGGTTCTGCGGAGCCCTCAAATCAATCGCCCTGCAGAGGGTGGCCTGGGCCTCCCTCTGTGGGGCAATCACAGAGCCGCCCCCCACATAGATTGCCCCCCCCCCCCCCCCCCGTTCCAGCCGGTGGCCTGGGCCTCCCTTTGCGGGGTGATCATGGGGCGATGGTGGCCCCCCCGCCCTACCACCAATTGCATTGCACCCGCCTTGGCTGGCCTGGCACCAGTGTGTGTCATAGCGTGGTCGTCTGGAAGGTCGTCCAGATGGTTGTTCTGCTGTTTGGTCATTTGGTTGATTTGCATATTATGCTTTTATTATTATAGACTAGAGGCCTGGTGCACAAAAATTTGTGCACTGGGGGGGAGAGGGGGGTCCCTCAGCCCGCCTGTGCCCTCTCCCAATCTGGGACCCCTCGGGAGATAACGACCTGCTGGCTTAGGCCTGCTCCTGGGTGGCAGAGGGCAGGCCCAATCCCTAGGTGCAGCCCCTGGTCAGGCTCAGAGCAGGGCCGATTGGGGAGTTGGGGCGCTGTCTGCTGTCATGCACAGAGCAGGGCGGATTGGGAGGTTGCGATGCCACCCTCAGTCATGCTCAGGGTAGGGCCGATTGGGGGGTTGGGGCACCACCCCCTGTCACACTCAAGGTAGGGTCGATGGGGAGGTTGCGGCACCACCCCCTGTCACGCACAGAGCAGGGCCAATCAGGGGGTTGGGGCGCTGCACCCTGTCACGCACAGAGCAGGGCCGATCACGGGGTTGGGGAGCTCCCCCCTGTCACGCACAGAGCAGGGTCAATCAGAAGATTGGGGAGCTCCCCCCTGTCACGCACAGAGCAGGGCCAATCAGGGGGTTGGGGCGCCGCCCTCTATCACCCACAGAGCAGGGCTGATCAGGGGGTTGGGGCACCACCACTGTCACACTCAGGGCAGGGCCGATGGGGAGGTTATGGCTCTATCCTGTCACACACAGAGCAGGGCCCGTGGGGTAGGGGGGGTTGGGGCACCGCACCCTGTCACACACAGAGCCGCAGGGCGATCAGGGGGTTGGGGAGCTCCCCTCTATCAGGCACAGAGCAGGGCCGATCAGGGGGTTGGGGCGCCTTCCCCTGTCAGGAACAGAGCAGGGCCGATAGGGAGGTTGTGGCCCCGCCCCCTGTCACACACAGAGCTGCAGGGCGATCAGGGGGTTTGGGCGCTGCCCCCTGTCACGCTGATCCCGGTGACTGGAGGCCTCGCGTCTCCGCTGATCCCGGCACTGGGAGGCATATTACCCTTTTACTATATAGAATAGAGGCCTGGTGCATGGGTGGGGGCTGGCTGGTTTGCCCTGAAGGGTGTCCTGGATCAGGGTGGGGGTCCCCACTGGGGTGCGTGGCCAGCCTGGATGAGGGGATGATGGCTGTTTGCAGCTGGTCACATACCCTTCAGGGTGGGGGTCCCCACTGGGGTGCCTGGCCAGTCTGGGTGAGGGGCTGAGGGCTGTTTTCAGGCTGGCGGGTGACTGAAGCTCCCAACTGTTCCTTTTTTTCTTTTTTTATTCTGGGCCAGCTTTAGCTCTGGCTCCAGCTCTGAGGCCTCTGCTGCTGAAAGAAGGTATCTGGTTTGTTTAGGTTCTGTAATCAAAACAATGTATAACTCCAGCTCTGAGATCCCAGCTCGCTGAAAGCTGGTTTCTGGGGTTTTGTTTAGCTTCTATATTTGTTATAATGTTTCTTAAACTGCAGGCTCAGAGGCCAGCAAGGCAGGCGGGGAACATTGGAGTCCTCCGTCACTGAAGCAAGCAAGCCTCATGTTAGTTTCAAGCTGCCTGGCTGCCGGCCGCCATCTTGGCTGGCAGTTAATTTGCATATCTCGTTGATTAGCCAATGGGAAGGGTAGCGGTCGTATGCCAATTACCATGTTTCTCTTTTATTAGATAGGATATTGTTTCAATTGTTTTCTAGTATTAGTTATTGTTGTTAATCTCTTACTTTGCCTAATTTATAAATGAAACTTTACCATAGTTATGGATGTACTAGAGGCCCAGTGCACGAAATATGTGTATGGGGTGTGGGGGGGGGGGGTCCCTCAGCCGGGCCTGCACCCTCTCCAATCTGGGACCCCTCAGGGGATGTCTGACTGCCTGTTTAGGCCTCTGCCTGCCTGCCTGATCACCCCTAGCTGCCTCTGCCTGCCGGCCTGATTGACCATACCTTGCTCCCCTGCCAGCCTGATCGACCCTACCTTGCCACCCTGCCAGCCTTATTGCCCCTAACTTGCTCCCCTGCTGGCCTGATCGCTCCTAACTGCCTCTGCCTCAGCCCCCGGCCTAAGCCACAGTCTGGCCTCCCTCTGCGGGAGGCAACCTGGTGGTTCAGGGGAAGGCACCACCCCCATTACCCTGCTGCTGCTGCTACTGCCGGCCTGAGCCTGGGCCCTTTGCAGCCACCTGCGGCTGCCTGAGCCTGGGACCTACACAGCCGACCTGGGGCCGACAGACCCTTCTTGCCACCATGCCTTGGAGGCCCGGGGCCCACAGACCCTTCCTGCCACTGCACTGTGGAGTCCCGAGGCCCTCAGATCCCTCCTGCTACCACACCCAGGTGGCCTGGGGCCCACAGATCCCTCCCACCACCATTCCCCAATGGCCTGGGGCCCACAGTTTGGTCGTCTGTCTGGTCGTTATGGACCCTGGCTCTTTATATATTAGGATGGGGAAAAGAAGTATATATAGGGTGTCGTATTAACTGTGGTTTCAGGCATCCACTACAGATCTTGGGACACATCCCCTATGGATGGGGAGGAAGGGACTACTACAGTGGAAAGAGCCAGACTTGGAAGTTGAGTCCTCTTTGTACCTGTTGTTTCCTCATTTTTTAAAGTAAACTATGGTACCAGACTGGTGTGGTACTTTGATACTGGTAAAAAAAAATTTTTTTAAATAGCTATATTGAGATGTGATTCATATACTGTGCAAAACTCCCATTTAAAGTATACAATTCAAACTGGCTTTTAATATATAGACAGAATTGTACAACCATTACCACCATCAATTTTAGAACAGTTTCATTGCTCCCAAAAGGACACCTGTATTCATTAATAGTCATTGCCAATCTCTCTCCTCACCTTCTGAACTTTAAGGAATCTCATATCTACTTTGTCTCTATAGTTTTGCCTATTCTGGACATTTCATATAAATGGAATCATATTACATGAAGTCCTTTGTGACTGGTTCTCAAACTTAACATATTTAAGGCTCATTCATGTGGTAGTATCTATCAGTATTTTATTCCTTTTATTTTAAAAATGTTTATTATTTTAAATTTATTTTTATTGTTGAAAGTATTGCAGATGTCCTCTTTTCCCTCCCGGGGTCCCCCTCCACCCTGCTCTGGCCCCTCCCCAGGCTTTTACTGCACTATTATCTGTGTCTATGGGTTATTTGTATATGCATATAAAATTTTTGGTTAATCTCCCCCCACCCCCACCCCTTCTCTCTGAGATCTGTCAGTGTTTTGCATGCTTCCATGTCTCTGGATCTATTTTGTTTGTCAGTTTATTTTGTGCATTAAATTACACATATAAGTGAGATCATGTGATACTTGGCTTTCTCTGACTGGCTTATTTCCCTTAGCATAATACCCTCCAGGTCCCTCCATGCTGTCTCAAACAGTTTACATTCAATATTATTTTGTATTACTTT